ATGTATGTTACCGCATAACTTTGGACCACGTCAACCGATTTCGATAATTCTGCATCGGAAAGGTAGTGTCTCAGAGGTGGTCCCATACTAATCTGGTTGAGATCCGATCAGTGGATCATGAGATATAGTATATATATATATTTTTTTTTATATGGGAGTTGAAGTCGGTTTTTTTTTCGCTAAAAATTACTTGTTTTAATATATCAAATATTATTTTCTGAAAACCTGTTAAAAAGATATAACCCATTTTATGCGTACCGATTTTGATTGAACAATGCTTTATATAGTACTAGCGGTACCCCGGTGTGCTTCTCTACACCAAATATTGAAAAATGAATGAAAAATCCTGGAATTTTTCTATGAATTTTTTTTTACAATATTGCAGCCATGTATATACTTGACTTAATTTGTCCGAAGAAAAAATAAACACAGCATATCATAGCAACAATTTTTCACCATGTTTTCGATTTTTCATGTATCTGCTGATGTACCATGTACGTGGTTCATGTGACAGACATAAACTGTCATATATCATGAACCGCTAAACCGAATTCGGGCACACTTCACATAACCCATCTGCATGATAGTCCGAATATACCGTTTAAGTTTGGTTTAATTCGGTAAAGCCGTTCTCAAGTTATAAGCTCACACCAAAAACGTTCACTTATTTTTATATTTTAGTTAGTATGGGTGGTGCCACGCCCCCTTTTCCGAATTCACGCGAACTTCACATAAACCATCTGCATGATAGATTGAATATGCCACATAAATTTGGTTGAATTCGGTGAAGCCTCAAGTTATGAGGTCACACCAAAAACATGCACTTATTTTTATACCCGAGCGCACTTGTGCACAAGGGTATATTAATTTTGTTCACATAACGGTTGTTTGTAACAGCCAAAACGAATCGAGATAGATATAGACAAATGTATACATAAATGATCAGGATGAAAAAATAAATCGATTACGCCATGTCTGTCTGTCCGTCCGTCCGTGTACACGATAACTCGAGCAAAAATTGAGATATCTCAACGAAATTTGGTATGTAGGTTTCCCTTAATACAAGGTAGGTTGATATGGCGAAATCGGACTGTAGGCACGCCCACTTCCCATATAACGGTAATTTCCAGAAATACGAAAACTGCGATATTTTATCAACTACTGAGGATTATTCACTCAAAATTGATATTTACAACAATTTTTAGACGAAAAATAAGATTATAAATTTTTGGAAAATGGGCGTAGCCACGCCCACTTCTGGACGTCCATAAACCTAGCTGACCCAAGTCGCCAAAAATCAATAA